AAATTGAATATTTGAAAGTTTAAACAGGGAAAATGACAGTTAAGAAGTTGTGAGGAAGGCATAGTTTGTTAAGCCTGTTGGACATTTTCAGTCTTTTAAATCATGTTTCAAGTTTTGTCTGATATCCTGGATAAAGTGAATATTCTTTTGTAAAAACTCAAGAAGCAAGACTTTTTTGCACATGGATGACTCAAACTGAATTAATCTTCCTTGGCTTCCTTTACAGGCACCAGAGTCAAAACATGGGACTCATAGGGTGCTATTCTACTCATCCTAAAATAATTTAAGTAAATCACAGGCTTGAATCATCTAATTCTTCCTGATGACCATAAAGAGACACTCAGGTGTTTGCTTGGCAGCTGACATCCTTTCTGTGGATGCTTAAAGTGAGGTGAGGTGAAATCCCACCCACAGAGACTTTGAGATAAGGCAGGAATATTTTGTATAATGTGGCACTGTAAGAGCTGAAATGGTGTAAAGCTGAATTCACTGCATGAGTCAATGATCCAAGGTGTGTGGAACAGCTAAATCCATGCAGTGATAACAGAATCTGACTTTTTGCATATTTTTAGTTACAATACCATTATTATCTATGCTGTTATGCCATAGTTTCAATAGTAATAATATAATTAGGAGTTATTATGCTGTGATGTATTTCCTAGGCCAGGAAAAGGAGGAGAAGCTGTCTCTGGAAAATTGAACTGAAATGATTATTAACTTAAAAGTATATGTCCTTTCTTTATGGATTTAGTTTAAACATAATGTTTATAATTTAAAATGGACACTTATGAATTTTTACTCAGTCCTGTCTGGGGGATGTCAGGTATTTTGTATACTTTTTATAAAGTACTAATACGAGAACTTGAGAACTAAAGTGGAGAAGCTCTCGTTTTGTGGTAGCTGTGGCTGAACATTATTTTATAACCTACTTTTTGCTAGTTACACACTGGAGTAAATGGATGTTGTACTTTGAAGGGAAGTTTTTTTCTGCCATTATAGACCTGAGTGTATATAAAAACCTGGTTTGCTGATGGACAGTGGAATAGGGTGGAGAGAATACAGAAGATGGGATTGGAAATAATGGCTCTTGACAATCTTGGTAGAAGATATCTTGAAAATTAGGGTATTGCTAAATCAAGGTAGCATCTGCATTCCTACATCTGCTTACTTAGAAATGAAGGCATGAGTGTAGGAATCTGTGAAAGGAATGGATAATGTTATGAGAGACACTTAGTAAAAGGCAAGGTGGAGTTGATGATGGGTTGGGAATATATTCCCACTGATCCTGACAACTTGCACCAGGCAGAATCCATCATTAGAGAGAATTTCTTCCCTCAAACACCCATTTATCTTTCATGTAAGGAGCCTGCAGGAGAATATTCATGGTATATTGCAGCAGATGAAAGATTGCCAAAGTTGATTCGCTGGAGTCAGCCTTCTCAATATAGTTTTTATTGGAGTTCTGAGATTAATTTTATGTCCTTTGGTATTGTTATTTCTGTCTCTTCCAGTGACAGAAAATACAAGGGAGGGTGTTTTCAGAGATGTAGGGTATGTATACTTTTTCTTTGTTATCTTCTTTCTGAATAGTTCCTCCTTGCAGTCAGTAATTTTTCACCCAGGTATGAGCTGGAAAAGCTCTACTTGAGTCATTGTTGTACAATGCTGATAAGATGCTATCAAGAGCTGAAGCAGCAGCATATTGGTTTCTCTTCTCACATTCTATGCTACAGATAAAAGATACATGTCAGTCAAAAACATGTCCATTTGGAGGAAATGTTATTATATAAATCTTTATTATCTGTTCTGTTTTTTTTCTTTTTTCTTTTCTTATTTTTTTATTATCCTTGCATCCAATCCTTTCACCAAAACTTCTTCAGACTGATGTTTATAATACAAGAAATATAGACCAGCAATTGCAATATTTTTCACTCTAGTGCACCTGGCCACTCTTCAAAATGCAGAAATGCTACTTGGAACTGATTTTTATGACAGTTTTCCTCTGGGTTGGATGAAGTTGTGCAGGGAGACAGATTCAGATCCTTTGACTCCAACTGTTTGGCACTGGCACAATGTCCACGTGACACAAACCAGTCCATGTGCATATTGCCAGGTTCTCTTCTGTTCCAAAGTAATCTACTGGGAATGATCAAATCTGGCAAGGAATTTTGCTAGATTCTGGGAGATATTAGTCTAATCTGCCCTTGGAAGCCCTCTGTCAGTGTACCAGGATGAGCAGCATTTCAAAGTCGGGGGATATTGCCTGGCATCTTTCAGTTTAGTAGTAGAGATATGGTTCTGCAATAATCAGAGTTACATATATTTTGATATCACAAAGGCCAGTACTCAAAAAGCCATCTCTATCAGCAAACTTAGAGTTATGTGCCAGTTACATGTGCTGTCAATAAAAACCTGGGTTTATAGTCTCTGAAGCGAGGGATTAGAGAGAATACATGATTAGAGAATTCAGAAACTATACTTTTCTATTAGATATTATTCCTTTTTGACAAATCCCTCTAAAAGCCAGAATTCACATCATTCCATAGCTGTCTCCATACACAGGCTCAGCTGCCTTCCTCCAAATATTCTGGCTATTGGTGGGAAGTGAATCCATGACTTTGTGGCTATTGGTGGGAAGTGATTACACGGAATCACTTGACCTTTGATACCAAAATGTGTGAGTTAAAGAGTAAACCTTTCAGCTGTAAGAAATCAGTAGATTATTGCAGACACTGAGGCTTGCTCTTAGATGAAGACATGATTATACACTAAGCCAGTGTATTATTACACTTTCATTTTCTCTGCTGAAAGGTCTATTACCCTCTCTGTAGCATGATCTAATATCTGTTGAAGTCAGTGTGAGCTTTCCATTGAGTTTAATCGGCTCTGATTCATGATCTAAATGTGTGAGCCTGTTCATACCAGCTAGAATTAAGCAGGATATAAGAAGTGTGAAGAGGTAATCTTTAAAATCCATGTATTTATCTCTAGATCTGCCTCTCTATATACATCTGTTTTCCATGCAAACACTTAGACATAACAGAATATCTATCTGAAGATGATAACATCGTGTGAAGGAATCCAGTCTAAATTTAATCAAATGGTTTTAAAGGGCAACTTAGGTAAAGCTGATAGGAAGAAAAATGAGATTTGTGAGTGAAAGGAAAAGAAAAGATAGGAGTTCTTGGAGTAATCTTCCCAAAGAAGGGAAACTGAGATGCAGTTTCATGGTGGATGGTTTTCCTCCTGCTGCTCTGAAAAACTCAAATATCCTAGATCTGATAAACACATTCTCTCAGAACAGTTTTTTTTATAATCGGGTTTTTTATCATCAGTGTATATTTGTTTTATTTGAGATTAATTTCCTACTTTTTCTTACTCTGTGACTGCAATGAATATATTTTTGGAGTTTTTTTTCAATCAGAGTATTTTTCACAGATATTTTGGTCACTGTCATTAAATGCTGGTTCTCCAAAGGCAGAGTGGGCCCAAGTCAAATCCATCAGCAAGGAATCAGCCCTCTGAGACAGTGCAAATAATATGGGAAAAAATATTCCCATATTTTTAATCTTGAAGCATGTGAAATAGGCCCTACAGTCTGAATTTTTAATTATTTGAAATTTTTACCAGAGGAAAATGGACAATGACATTTTGGACAAGGATAAGGACAGGACTGGAGCTTTAGGGCAGTTTCATATTGCAGGAAAGGGCTCTCAGTCATCTTCAAGTACTTGACCTGAATCTGTTAAATGTCCTTTTACTATTTTGCACATGAATGGCCACACTGATCAAACCAAAAGGTCGTCTATCACTTCATCTTTTGGCTGATATTCAGTGGGTGCTGATATTCAGGAAACATTTAGAAGACCAACATAAGCTGAGCACACAGCTGTCCTGCAGTGTGTAGCCTCATTTCTTAGTCAGCAGTTCAGCACCTTTCTGAGTTTCATAAGTGCTTAAGTGTACATAAGTGTTATGTTTTACAGCCACTCTCAGTCCTCCCCTCTGGTGCTCTAGGAAATTTTCTAGCAGAATAGGGGATTTTGTAATATATTTCTTTCTTCACAACTCCAGCTCATTTACATATATTTTAATGGCAATTCATTCATGAGCAGCTAAGTTAGACTCTAAAAAGGATTGTATGTGCTACAGTTCTGCCCACACCTCACATCTCCCCACTGTCACTAACTGGTACTGCTGTAAAATGACAAATCTTCATTGTGACAGCCAAAATTTCCACCAGTGGGAGCTACCTCTATTGGAAAGCAGGCAAAGATATCCTGGAAATTATGGTTGATTGCCATAAGACTGTGGTTGATTGCCATCCAAGTTGTTTGGCTGCAGCAGTAGATGGATCACTTTAAATCTATAGTATAGACAAGGGTAGACTATAAATCAGCAAAAATTCTCAGTGGACAGCTATTTCAGCCACAATTACTTATTGTGGTGGAAATTAAGATACGTTTGATGTGTGTATATATAAGGTGACAGGATACAAGGACTGGGAGAGCACTACATGGGATATGGCTGTGGGCTGCAGACTGCTGGGAGAAAATTCTGCTCCCTGAAAACTCAGGGAGAGACTAACACCACTCAGATCTTCCACAGTTTGTCACTGCCAATAGTGAAATCACCTGGTATTATACTCTCTATAAGCAAAGGAAAACTATCATAAATCAACCACTAACTTTTAAAATAAAAAATATGTATTTTAGTAATAACACAGTGCTGACAACTTTGAGCTCTCTGAAGGGCTCACGGACACTTACATCCAAAACCCTCTGCAGAGAGTAGAAATAACCTAAGGATTTGGGACCAAGCTTACTGAATTTCCCAATCTCCCCCTTTATCTTCCAGTCAACAGGCATCAACATCAATTATTGTGCATCCTGTAGGAAATGAGAATGCTTTTCATATTGTTTTATTGGCCTATAAATCACACTTTGATTCACTTAACCTACAAACTCAAAACGGAGGCTGAATCATGTGTTAGGTAGCAAGAAGGCAGGAGTAGAATGGGGAGCACTGTGGCTTGTGTCTCTATTTTCTCCTGCCAGAGGAAGGGAGTGGCCATGGCACAAACCCAGAAATCTTTCCCCCTGAGGATCCCCATGTTTGCACAGGCACTGCCAGAAAACACGTTTGAGGATGTGGCTCCATCCCACAGATTCCCTCTTTGCCATCTTTCTATCTCATGACTCCTCACCATTTGGTCCAGAGAGGCAGCAGAACAGAAAGCAGTGAAAGGAAGCTGGAAAACATTGTCTGGAGGTCCAGGACATGTTTGTGTGGCACAAACTGTGTGCCTTTTGGGAACCCTGAGCTGTAGGATTTATCTATGCTCTACATTTGTTGATCTTAGATGTCTTTTCCAACCTAAATGATTCTATGGTTCTCTGTAGCATATTCTGCTTGTCCCACAAACAGCCAGAATAACTGTGATTGTGGCATGGCTAACACCAAACCTCTGGATGAACATTGCTCTTTGGAGAATACCATGAAGTTTTCACTGCAGAGAACCAACTTATTAATTAAAATTTCTCCTGTAACAATGTGACATCTCTAGGGAGCTGGTTCAGACAGGAAATGAGGTGGAAAAGGAAGGAGATAGAATTTAGTGCAACAGTAATTTTTTTTGACATTCCCATTTTGATGCACTTAGCAGGAGTGGGCAGGTTGTCTGATCAAATTTACATTTGACCTAATGACCTCAGTCTGCCGTAATATCAGTGGAGACAAGTAAGCACTGCAAAGGCATGACTCACCTCCTGAAAGCAGACATCTGAGTCAAGAGAAGCCCCCAGAAGTGCCTATTTCATTGATTATATAGGTCAGATATAAGTGCTCACATTACAGGTGTATAAAGATGGGGGTTGTGAAGACATTGTAGAAAAGCACTTTCTACCTGTCCATCCACCAAATATAAAATTAGCCAATCAATGACATGATTAAATTGTTTGGCCAGGAGACATCTGCCTGTCATGCTAGTGCAGGCAAAAGTCTGGGAATAGCAGAAAAAGGCTCTCAGAAATATCAGAAGAGAAAAAATAATCATTTATATGTCTTATTTCACAGGGTGGAAACTCAAGTGCTACACTGAGACCTGTCATGGGATCTATGAAATATGACTGACATTAAAAGAAAGTTTTTTAAAAAGGGTAATTTGGTAACCTCATAACTATTCTGGGTTAAATTAGTTTTTATCATTTCAGAGGATTAGGTTTCCACATAAACTTTTATTGGCTACAACATCTTTATTACTTGACTCAAATAGGGTCTCGTTTTCTGGATCTTATTTTGGTCTTGTAGAGATACTTAATTTTATTAGATTATTTGATCTTGCCTAAGTGCAGCTGTTAATCAGTCTCTTTCTACATCCTCCTTTCTTCCTCTGCCTTTTCTGGTAAATTATTTCTGCCATTAAGACAAAAATCTGCTAGTCTTAGTAGAATTCATTTTGCCTATTGCTATAATAGGAAAACTTAACATGATTTCCAGAAACCCAGGTGCTTTTCAAAGGGCATCTATCAGGTATATCAAGGAATACCTTGGTTGTTTTGGGCAGCCTTGTTTCACTTGCCACTGTGTGTTTTTTAATATTCACTGGTCAATAGTCCCAGACATAATTTGCACTGGATTTCTGAGGATTTGGATCTTCTAGCTTTGATGACATATATAAGAATATCAGATTATCACAATTTTTTTTCATACATTGCACTAAAATATAGGTAAATGCTGTCAACAGGAAAAGTTGTGAGATATTTTCTATTCTTCTCATATAAAGATTCTTTTCTGAGTTTACCTTGTCTCAATTTTGTTGAATCTCAAAGATTTTCTAAATGCTTTTTTCCCCTGCCTTTTTAATGCAGAAATAAAAATAGCCTGCATTAAAAAAAAGAAAAAAAAAGAAAAAAAAGAAAAAAAAGGAGCAGATATTTGTTCTCTATAAATAGCGAAATAGAAAGTTGTTTTGTTGTTTTCCAGATTGCTGGCTAACCAATTCTACACAGCATAGAAAGATATTGTCAATTTATGCAGAAAATCAAGGAACAAAAATTAACGAGAATGAAAAGAAAACTGGTGTTGGACTGATCTTTTCTTTCAGCATCTACACTCCAATCTTACAAAAGTCTTAATTTATTTTTTCACCACCGAGGGTATAAAAAACTAAAAATGGAGTTAAATTAGCTATTGTATATAGTATAACACACTATGTGCATGTATAGTTTTTAAAAAACACAAATGTTCAGCATATACACAAAGATTGAAAGGTACAGTTGAGAATCTGCTGTCCCAAACTGGATTAGATTCAAAGGAGATAATGAGGTGACACGAAGGATGCTCTAAAGTTGTTTATTTTGTATTTCTTGTGAACCTCTAAGGACCCCCCACAGGGCATTGTTAGTGGATAAGCAGTCAGTCCACATCATCATCTGCTTATAATATTGTTCTTTGCATCAGTGAACCCAAAAAGTGACTGCAAATATGTAATGGGTTCAAGAGCTGCTGGAATTCGTGG